TTACTAAATTTTAACAGTCATAAATAGGACAAAGGGGAGAACATGTTGCTTTAGAATTGTTTGACATCATTTAAGCATCAGCTTTGGAAAGTGGTTCCTTACCTAAATGAGAGAGGAACACTCATCATTCCAGTGTAGAAGAGCAAGAGGGTCGGGGGAGGTGATTGTTTTAAGGGATTTATAAAGCTGTATTTGAATTTTGAGGAGCAAAAATAGGTTTGGGAAAGAAATGCCTTTCACCCACATAATCATAATTTGTATGAGAAGAAATGTTAATTTAATGACCTGAGAAATTCATGTTTTTCTTTTTAAGGGGAAAGATAATCCCTTCATATATTAATTTCAGAGTTTTTTTCAGGCCAAAAATGTGAAACTTAAAAGCCTGTCTGAATATCAAGTGTCATTTCTAATACCCAGGCTTAATTTTACTTAGTACTTATGTAACATCAATGTTCCAACCTGAAAGAAATTTTGTATCTAGTTGTGTTTTGTGTTTGTCAAGGTTTTGGGAGTTGGAGGAAAGTTATCTGTCAGCTAAGTGGTTCTTTTTATTGCTCTCTTCTGTGTTACTTTATACCTAGAGTATCTTTTTTTTTTAACATATTCATTGAAAACTCCAAATAATTTTTTTAAGTGTTTAACGCTTAATATATCATTGCCTTTATGAGAAATTTTATTTTTAAAATATTTCAGTATTTGGAACTGGAGAGGTGGCTTAATGGTTATGAACGTTTACTTTTCTGTCAGGGAACCCAGAGTTAGTTGCCAACACCCCACACGTGACTGTTAACAACTGTCTATAACTCCAGTTCCAGGGAATCTGACACCCTCTTCTGGCCTCCATGGATACTGCATATACCTTGTGCACACACATACATACAGGCAAAACACACATAAAATAAATTTAAAACTAAATTTAAAAAAATATTTCAATATTTAATATATCCAGAATCCCTATCAGATATTGCTGGTGCTATGATAGGGTTTTGATTTGTGCAGTAATAGGTATTTGTTGTTTGTTTGGGTGATTTTTGTTGGTTTTGTTTGTTTTAAGACAGTCTCACTCTGTAGACCTGGTTGTCACCAAACTCACAGAGATCTGCCTGTTTCTGCTGGGTTTAAAGGTGTGTGTCTCCACACCTGGCCTAGTAGTAGATATTTTTTAAGTTTTATCAATTAAAAATTGATCAGGCAGTCTGTTTTGTGGAAAAAAAAAATTCTCCAAAGAGGGAAAATAAGAGATTAGTCAAGAAAGTACTATGGCAAGATTTGACAGTATACTCTAAAACTTTCATCTCCCTTGCCCTTTCTAGCTTCCAAGAAAAAAAAAATCCCTAAAATTATAGCTGTGTTGCTTTATTACTGTTTTTATTAATTTTGTCCAGTGACTTCACTTAGAAAGTATGTAGTGAACAATGATCATAGTTCAGAGCGAGTCACTCCCAGAACAGCTCTGTTGTATTGTGATGTGGGGCCAAAAACAAGTTTCAAAGGCAGAAACGTGAAAGGCTAGTTAAACTACATGAAGTAAATTAGTAAGACGTTTGAATGATCTGTGGTATTTTTCCAGTGAAGTTTGTGTTTTCTGCTACAAGTACCTACTTCTGGGCATATAGGGCATATAGATTTTTATAACTACATTTTTATTCAAGATACATTGTTAGTCTTAGCTAGTTTCTAGGATTTGTAAAAGGAAAATCAGTGTTTCTTATTAGCTATTATCAGCTCCCTGTGTTAAAATATCATGAATCTGAGCAGATTCCTACATTAACCCCAAGACTTTTCTTAAGCTTAATTCATCTCCACATAAATACTCTGTGTGAAAGAAAATTTAGAGCCCTTTATTTTAAAAAGCTTTCTTAGCATAAAACTCAAAAAATTTAATTTCAAAGTTTTGTTGATATTAAAACATAGATTCAGTCTTGTCTTAAAAGTGTATTACAATTTACTTCTTGCCATTTTTGTGTAAAATTTACAGAAAGAGTGTTACACCGTGCGCTCCAAAGGTAATGTCTCATTACTCTAAGGTTCTTTCTTTGCCTTTGTTTCTTTAATCCTATTGTTATGTGCATTGATACATTTTAAGAAAAGCTTTCTGCTTGTTTTGTGTAGCAGCAATACATGTAAAACAAGGGTGTTTATTGCTCATGGTTAATCCTAGGAAGTATAGTTTAATTTCAGTGGCTTGCTTATATATCTGCTGGTGAAAATGGGACTGTATTTTATGTTATGATTTCATTGTAGTGTGGAGCTAGAAAGGTCAAAAGCTTCTCTTATGGTGATATAAAATGTAGATTGATCTTTGGAATAGCAATACCTTTTCAATTTCTAGGGTTTATAAGATTTAAATAAATCCTTGCAGTTACTGTTTTAAGTAAATTCAGAGGTTAGAGAAACTGGTATCAGTGCCTCTAAGTAACAGAAAATGGAAATGTGTAGATACTGATGTTGTATGGTTTGAAGTTTTTTTTGTTTGTTTCTCCCTTAGGTATGTTTTAATAAGCATGTATAAACTTCCACATTTTTGACCATCTCTGGCTTTCTTAAAGTCTTAGTTTACTGAATGTATATAACTTTTGCACATTTCTTTCAAGAATGGTATAATTTGGATATTTGAATACAGTAAAGATTTGTGGGATGCGATTTCTCTGTTGGTTTTAGTAGACTTGACCGAGCACATCATTTCCCCTGCCCTTCTGTTAGCCCTAGTTGGCAGTTTTCTCTTTATCACGTAGATTGTTAGCCCAGTGTCAGCCAACATGCTTTACAATCAGTCCTCCTGGAATTTGTAGGCTCAGAGCCTTAGAGGGCTGCTTTTTGTTAAATACCTTGAGTATTCTTTCTGTGTACCAATTAAAGTACAGATTGCTTTTTCTGTATCTTGAATTGCAGGTGCAGGTAAATAAAATTACTCATGTTGGTTTGGGCATTATGAGCGGATTAAAATTGTCCATGAAGTAAAAACCTGGTCCTCTCTGCATTGTTTTCCTTACTACTCAGTGCATTAAAGGACTGAGTTTATTTTTGTTTTCATTTGAAATCAGAAGTAGGAGGTGGATAATGAAGCTCAGTGGTTGAGCATGTTTCAGTCTTCAGCATGAGACAAGTTTCCCAAACTTGAATGTCATGAGATCTCTGTTCCATCTTCAGTTGGTCTCAAGCATGTCTTGCTGCAGCTAGCTGAATATTGTGCCTCACCATTTGTTCCAAGGATTTGTCCTTAGGTGGCTTTTATAGTATGTGTTAGCTAAGGTAACATTTGAATTGAGCTTTGTGTCATATATATGTATATATATATGTGTGTGTGTGTATATATATATGTGTGTGTGTGTGTATGTATATATATATATATATAGGCTTCCTTGACTGCTAGATTATCTGAGAGTGAGGTCCAAGAAAGGAGGAGCATAACCAATCAGTAAGCCAAGTGTTATTCAACTTCTGCGTGGTAGAACAGTTTCTCACCTCTGAAAGCATTTGCTCACCCTTTTGTAAGGGATTTTCTCCCAGTTTTTAGTTTCTGCTTCAGTAAAGTTCTATGGTATGAGGAGTCATTTCTATTATAAAGTTGTCTACAGTGGTTTCGGCTAGTTCAGTGGTTTGAACATCTGTGGCTCATTTATAGTATGGGGAGTCATTTCTATTGCAAAGTTGTCTACAGTGGTTTCGGCTAGTTCAGTGGTTTGAACATCTGTGGCTCATTTTCTTAAATTCACTTTTCTTCTTGTTGCCTGTTTTTATTTTTAAAATTATACTGCCTTGAATTTCTACTTTTCACATCTTCTGAGGAATATTTGAGGCTTGTTTTTTAAAACTCAAAACTTCCTTTAAAGTTCTGAAATTTCTTAAGTTCACATTTAACTTTTTAAGTTTTTAAGTTAAATACTATAGTCCTTTTATCAAGCTGAATATTCTTAAAGTAAATATACACATTACAAACTCTTGTATAATAAAGATTTTGGCCTTGTGGTGAAAGTTTAAATTGTTCTGTTGATATGTGCTAGAATTGCTTTAAAGTGGACATAAAAATATATGTGGGTGCTTCTTGTACAGTTGACTGCTTTAATATGGTCTGATAGCTAGTGACCTTGTCTATATATCGTCTGTTTCTCATTCTTAAAAACTATAAGATGCTGGTGGTATGTAATTCTGAGCTCTACTTTGGAATTTTTGTATTACAATTAACATAGTGTTAAGATCTGTGGGAATGTTATGGGAAAACCAGCTTGGGTTCAAAGTATCTTCGCCAAGTGTACCCCACAGACTTCCCAAGAATAACCACAGAATGTCTGTAGAAGCAGCTGGTTGGGTGTTTTCTGGGCTCTGGAAATTCAAGATGTCAGTACTACCCCTCTTCTTATTTTGCTGTCAGGAATGTTGGCAATTTGGAAGTTTTCCTTGTTGCATTTTCAGATTCGCTATTGATGGCAAAGCTTCACCGTGAGTGAAGGAAGAGGGCCAGGAAGTTCTGCAAACAGAACTCCTGAGGCTTCCTCTATTTGCCTGCTTAAAAAAACAATGCAGACTGAGAAGTAACAAATAGAAGAGCCCAGTTCAGTGTGTGGGCCAGTGTTCATCATGCTCCCTTGTCTAGGGAGGGAACAGGTCCTTCTCCTTGTTGAATTCTGCTGATAAAGTTTGAGGGTTTCTTATGTTTCTTTTTGTTGTTACTGTTTTAGAATTGAGAGTAAATTTAATTTCAGTGTGTATGCTGAACATTTATGTAATTCAACCTTACTTTCATATATTCTAATATATGTAATACCTAGTAGTAGAGTTGATTTTGTAATTAATTGTAATCTTTTTTTTTTTAATTAGTAAAATGGCTACTATTGCTGGATGGGGGTCTTTAAGGTTGGAAGTATATTATGTTTAATGTTTTCCCCTGTCTTTTTATCTTTACTTCTTTGTTCACTACATGCTGTGTTTAAACCCTTCTGCTCCCTTCATCTGAACACGTCATTTTTGATATCATCTTTGTGTTGGTGTTTATTATACAGAACTACAAAGCCTGCTCCACACCTGGATGGGTAAGCATTGTATTCTTAAAATCTTGGGGAATTGTTTGGGTGACCAGCCATAAAGACAAACTGACTATAAGTGGACCTGAGTTAATCTCGAATAGCCAAGCTCTTCCTGAGGGGGCACAGGATGCAGTAGCTTTGAGCCCCAATCTCACATCACTGAAGAAGTCTTTCAATATGCCCATGGGTGGGCTTCTTAAAGCCATACAGTTTTGAGCATCCCAGAAGAGATGGTTTCTCAGTATGAAATGTAGTTGTTGTTTAGATTGCAATTTATTTATTATATGCAACAATGGTTCCCTGACCCTAAAATGCCTGGGAGCTGTTGCTATAATAGCAGAAAACTGAGACCCAGTTTGACTGCAGGTGAACTGTTGCTGTTTGCTTTTATGACATAGATTTCAACTTCTTACTCTCTTTTAGGTTGCTTCACATGTCAAACACTTGGCTTTATTTCCAGATTTGTGAACATGTTATTTACAACATTCATCTCAGTTACTGTTCATAGCTTAATTATTATTAACCTTGAATTCATATTGTTAACAGAGTTCATGTTGTCTTTGGACTGGTTATTTCTGGTTTTGAAGTAATTGAACAGATTGAAAATCTGAAAACTGATGCTGCAAGCAGACCTTATGCAGATGTCCGAGTTATTGACTGTGGGGTGCTTGCCACAAAGTCAGCAAAAGATGGTAAGAACTTTAGGGGGAAGTGGAGGAAACTGGGAAATAGGTAAAGCGTACTACAGCTTGAAGACTTCTAGATTTCAGTGTGGAAGGTTCTTAGGAGTGGTGTGGCAATAGCACTGGAGTTTCCATGTCATACCCTTATCCAGTCTATAGCTACTGTTGTGTAGTACCCTGCTATTTATTCACCTTACCTCTGTCTCCTTGCTCTCTTGTAATCATTTCTCAATAACAGTGTCCCTGATGGTCTTCTTACTTATCCTTATTCTTTTTTGATTTTTCCTTAGCTGCCAAAGTGTTCCTTTTAAACCATATTTCATACCCTTACCCTCTTGCTCATATACCTACAGTGGGTCCCCTCTCAGCTACCCAGAGTTAAAGTCTGTGCAGTGGTCTTTCTAAGGCCCTCAGTAGCCGCTACAGAGGTCTGTGGCTCTCTGCTGTCTTTTGGGCGTCTTCTCCTTGCTTATTATCTTCCAGCCACATTGGCCTTTACTCAGACACTGGGGAACTTTGTGCTGGCCATTCTGTCTGGAATGCTGTCTGTTACATTCTCTCAGAAACACTCTTTGTTAAGATATCTACATCAACTCCTCCCTTTAGGTCTCTGTTCAAGTGTAATATTTTTTAAAAATACTTATTATTTTTATGTATATGAGTGTATTGCTTGTGTGTGTGTAAGTGCAACCATGTCATGCAGTGCCCATGGAGGTCAGAAGAGGGTGTTGGATTCCCCAGAAACTGAGTTATAGATGGTTGTTAGTTGCCATGTGGGTGCTGGGAATTGAACCTGGGTCCTGCAAGAACAGTCAGTGTAATCTTAAGCTGTCACCATTCTCTCTGTTCCCTTCACATGGTTTATTTTCTGTCTTAGCATTTATCACTTGTCATATCTATTTATTTTAGTGTTTGACCCAACTAGAATATAAGTTTCACGAGGGTAAAGGCTTAGCTACTTTCCAAGTTTGCAAACAGTTGTGTTATAACTTCAAAAAAGTTTATTTCAATTTTGGTTTTAGTTTGCTATACATAAAGCATCATATGATACTCAGCAGTCACATTTTTTACTCTGAAAGGTATCTACTGGACTCTAGTACTAATATTTTTATTAATATTTGTTAAAAGTTTTTGAGAAAAAAAGGAAGAAACCAACATATTCAGAAGACTCGGATTCTTCTTCCAATTCCTCTTCCTCTTCAGAATCATCTTCAGAAAGTGAAATTGAACGAGAGAGAAGCAGAAGGAGGAAACGTAAGAGGAGACCAAAAGTTAAACACACTAAAAAGAGACGAAAGGAAGTAAGCAGTTCAGAGGAACCAAGGAATAAGCGCACAGTGAGCCCTGAAGGGTGAGTAGTGTGGATCAGGACAGTTTGACCTAGAACAAGAGATGAACACATGACTATAAACTCAGTGCTTGTACTTGTTGACAAAGAGTAGCATTTGGGGGATTTAAACTGATACCTGGAAAATCTTAAGAGTGGCCTAGTTAATTCATAGCAAAGATTTATGTGTTTTTCAGGTGAAAATAATCCCTAAAATCCTTACTTTGTATATGTGAGGGGTGCACATATGGTGGTCAGAGGAAAATTTGTACGAGTTGGTTTTCTCTTTCCACCTTGTTGGTCCCAGGGATTGAATTCAGGTCTCAGGCTTAGTGGAAGGTGCACTCACTCACTAAGACATCTTGCCAGCCTTAATGCTTGAAACTTTTTTTTTCTGAATATAATTGTTTTCAGTCATTGAGAATTTCGTATATGTATCTAAAGGAATTTGATAATATCTACCTCCATTCCATCCTTTGAACTATTCCTGCCGTCTTCTCCATAGTACATATATCCTCCCCTGAACTTCATGCCCTCTTTTTCCTTTTATAACCCACTGAGTGCACTTAGTGCTGCCTATATGTGTGAGGATGTAGGGCCATCCACTAGAACATGGGCAGCCTACCAGGGGTCATACCCCTAAAGAAACTGATTGTCACTAAAGGAAGACTAGTGAGATGGTGAGATGGCTCAGTGTCTTATTGCCAAGCCTAACAACCTGAGTATAATCTCTGCGAATTAACTCCTACGAGTTGTCCTCTGATCTCTGCATACGTATGGTGCCATGTGCACCCACAACACACATGGAATCAAAGCAACAATTTTTAAAAAAAAAAAACATGAGAATCATTAGATAGCTTCCATTTTAAAATTTTAGTACCTGGGATTTTTCTCTTTTTTTTCTTCTTTTAACCTTTTTAAGAAATTTTGTTTACTCTCAGTTTTTCACTATATTGATGTTTTCATCTTTGTGAAACTTAACACTTTGAGGACAAATATAAGCTACCATAATTTTGCTGTTATTCTAATGTCTAGTTCTGTGTGCTTATTTTATTTTTTAAATTTTATTATTTTTATTTTATGTGTATGCGTGTATTGCCTGCATGTAGGTAAGTGCACCCGTGTCGTACAGTGCCCATGGAGGTCGGAAGAGGCTCTTGGATCCCCTGGGACTGCAGTTATGGACAGGACAGTTGTTAGCTGCCATGTGGGTGCTGGGATTCGAACCTGGGTCTTCTGTAAGAACAGTGTTCTTAACCGCTGAGCCATCTCTCCAGCCCCATGTGCTTTTATTTTTATGAAATGCAAGTATTGCACATCTTTATTGCTGGCTTGATTTATTTCAGTCATTCTGAAAGGAGTGATACTAATGAAAAAAGATCAGCTGATTCAAATGCTAAAAGGGAAAAGCCTGTTGTCCGCCCAGAAGAGATTCCTCCAGTGCCTGAGAACCGATTTTTACTTAGAAGAGATATGCCTGCTGTCACTGTGGAGCCTGAACCGTAAGTAGGATGACTAATGTTAACTTTTCCCCTCACTGTGTCCAAATGTTCATGGTTTCAGAGAATTCAGTCCATTGTGGCACGGTGCAGAAGCTCACAGAACAGTGGACAAGAAGCAGAGGGACAGGGATGATGTTGCTCACCTGTATTTCTTCCTCCTCTTATATTCTGCCTTGGCCCTAGCCCATGGAATAGTAGTATGCCCACATTCAGGGTATCTTCCTTATCAGTCAGTCATCCCTGGGAACACCCTCATGGACATATTCAGAGATGTGCCTCACCAGTCTTGTAGGTGATACTAAATCCAGACCAGTTGACAATGGCGGTTTACTATCTCAAACTACATATTTTTATTTCTTCTGATGGACAAATCCATCTCAGCTTTACACACTCAACTTACCATGGCTCAGAGTACCCTGAAAGATACTATAGGAGACACAGATTAAAGAATGCCATGTACCTCACCTTTTGGAATTCACATTTGACTACATTAGTACATAAAGGAAGTTGGTTCAATGAAGAGGATGTTTGTTTTGGTTTGGGTTAAGTTTTGCTTTTGGTTTTCTTTGAGACAGAATCTTGCTATGTACCTCAGGATGGCCTGGAACTTGTAATTCTCCTGCTTTGTCCTCCAGAGTACTAGGATTCTAGTTATGTGCCACCATGCCTGGCAGGAGGGAGAAGTTCTCCTTAGAGGTCTGGGAAGATTACTTTACCGTCTTGCTGCTTTGGCTGTACATTATAAAGGGATGAGACTTTGTTGTCAGAATAGGTTATAAGATTTTTGAGCTCTTTAGATCCAATTGAGTGTTGAAACCTGTTTCAATTTTAATAGTGCAAAGTTAATTACATGGTGACTGGAGATATAATTTAGGATCATAAATATTACTGTGGTTAACTTCCCTGCATTATAAAGGTTAATGTGTGGCTTTAGATTTGATAGCAGAAAATACTATTTAATGCATTTTGTGTAGTAGATTTGAATTCAGAATTATTAAAAGAATAAGTCAGGCATGATAGCATATGCAGCTAGTCCCAGTGACTGGGAAGGATTACTTAACCCCAGGAGTTGAAGTCTAACCCAAGTAAGTGTTCCTGTTCATAACAATACCCACATAAGGCTATTTTGTTCACTAAATTTGGGAAAGGATGCTCAGATAGAACCCAGGGTCCTGCCTTCAGTAAGGTACTATACTATTGCACTATATCCCTATCCCTTCACAATTTTTTTTGTTTACTTTTGAAATACGGCCTTGCTGTGTAGCCTAGGATGGCATCAAACTCAACTGTCATCTCAGCTTCCCATGTGCTAGAATTACAAGCATGTACCAGCATGCCTGGTTTCTTCCACAAATCTTTTTAGCAAAAAACACAAAATTATAAAAAAAAGTATTGTCTTTCTTAAATACAAGTCTCCTAATGGGAAAAATGGCAGGAGGAGTAACTTCACTTAGAATTCAAGTTAGTGTTCCCTATTAAGACAGATAATGTTGATGCTGTTTATCTGGAATACTAGTCTGTAGTAAGATTTCACATATTTCATCTTTGCAGATGGGTCATATGTGTAGCACTTGAAACACTGGCAAGTTGTGGTTATATCTAGTGATTTGTAGTGTGTCTCATAGCTTTGTAAAGCAATGAGTTTAGTTAGTATGTACAAACAGATCAAGAAAATGTGAATGGATGTGGTCGTGTTAACATAAAGCTTGATGAATATTGAAGTGTGAATTTCACGTCATAAAATATTATGAAGCTTGGTATCATAAGTACCTAAGTTCTGCATTTGAACATTGAGAAAACATATTGGTAGTTCACAGTTTTAAATTTTCATCACAACTTTTCCAGGAAGATTCCAGATGTTGCACCTGTTGTAAATGATCAGAAACCATCTGTATCAAAGTCTGGACGGAAGATTAAAGGAAGAGGCACAATTGTACGTGTGTTGAAACCTTTTTTTCTTTTTTTCGGAGCTGAGGACCGAACCCAAGGCCTTGCGCTTGCTAGGCAAGCTCTCTACCACTGAGCTAAATCCCCAACCCCGATAATTAACTTTTTAAAAATTTATTAAAATCTGAGGTTCAGGGCTGGAGAGGTGCCTCAACAGTTAGGAATACTGCCTGCTGCTGGGCATGGTGGTGCACGCCTTTCATACCAGCACTTGGGAGGCAGAGGCAGGCGGATCTCTGTGAGTTTGAGGCCAACCTGGTCTACATAGTGAGTTCCAGGTCAGCTGGGGCTATAGGGAGACGCTGTCTCAAGAAAAGAAAAAAAGAAAAAGAAAAAAAATAAAAAAGAATGTTGCCTGCTCTAAATAACTTTTTAAAAAATTATTAAAATCTGAAGTTTAGGGCTGGAGAGGTGCCTCAGCAGTTAAGAATACTGCCTGCTCATCCAGAGGACTTGAGTTCAGTTCTCAGCACATACCTGGCAGCAAATAACCAGCTATAACTTCATTTCCAAGGGCTCTGATGCCCTCTTCTGGCATACATGCAGGCAAAACACTCATACACATAAAAATAATTTTAAAAATTAAATTAAAAAAAAGGGACTGGAGAGATGGCTCAGTGGTTAAGAGCCACTCTTACAGTGGCTGCTCTTACAGAGGACCTGGTTTGAGCTAGTCAGTAACTCCAGTTCTAGGGGATCTGATGCCCTCTTCTGACATGAGGGCATTGCACAGTATGGTACCCTTACATTCATACAGGCATTACTCATAAAATAATAAAGTAACTATTTTTTTTTTAAATCTGAGATTCAGTTTTAGATACAAAATATATTTTGAAGGAATCATTCATAGCTTGCATAGTTTTAGGAAGAGACTACCATTAAATATTTACAGCCATACTTGGGTGATACAGTATGTGAAATGACAGTGTTGAAAAATCTTTGTCTTTGAGTAATGGAGGCTTATGAATCTCTTAGGACTGAAAAAGAAAATTTCATATGGGATTTCAGGTGAATCTCTGCCTTTCTTAACCTCTCTTAATGTCTTGTTTTTGAAATAACTTCACACTGTCCTTTTGATACTTAAACCTGTGCCTTTGAAAGGACCTGAGATTGGATTTTTACCTGACTCTCTCCTACAGCAGACTATAATTGAAGGGCATTTTTAGAACAGTTACTCGTTTTTGTATTTAAAGCGATACCACACACCTCCAAGGTCAAGATCTTGTTCTGAGTCAGAAGATGACGACAGCAGTGAAACTCCTCCTCACTGGAAAGAGGAGATGCAGAGATTGAGAGCATACAGACCACCAAGTGGAGAGAAGTGGAGTAAAGGAGATAAGTAAGCACAGGCCTGTGGCTGAAGTATTTTATGTTAAGGGATTTAGCAACTAACGTTTACAGTCAAAATACACTGACCACTTACATGTGAGAATGACTGGTTAAGAGTAATATTGCTAACTACCTGACATTGGGGCAGGGGGAGTTCCCTCTGCTGAACTTTCTGTTTTGTTTTGTTTGCGGTCGTCTCCCTATAGCCGCAGCTAGCCTGGAACTCACTATGAGGACCCTCTGCCTCTATAGATGCTGGGATTAAAGGTATGTGTCACCATACCTGGTATAAACTCTTAATTTCAGAAATAATCAGGGCTTAAAATTAGATAGTGAATGTCTTTTTTTCCAGATATTTTAGTCACAGATGAATTAATTGGTAAATGAGAAGGTCTGTACCCAGCATGATCCCAAGGACTAGTGTGCCTTCAAAAGTATACCTGTATCTTAACTCAGTGATATCCTACAATGGAATATCTATCTGGTTTTTGAAATGGGACTGGGCCAGAATAGCTTGTGGGAAAATAATGCAAAGGAACTTTGTATAAGTCTTCATGGAAGAATTCTCTTCTCTGAAGGCATCTTACAGAGTGTTTTTTAAATTGGGAGAGCAAGGAAGAGGCAGACAGCTGCTGCATAGAAATAGCTTAGATAAAGTGGTGCTGAGGACTCTCACTTTTGAACCCTGACATTACCTTTTAAGATTCTAAAGCATCTATCAATTTTAGGAGCTTAGGAAAAAATCTTGATTACCACTGTGAGATGAAGAGAAAACAGTTGTTATGCCAGCATTCCAGTAAGTTCCCACTGAAGAGACTTCTCAGTTTATGTAATTTGTGTGGGTTGGGAAGTCACTGACCGTTGATAAAAAGGAAAAAGAGAGCTGAGCATGGTGGCACACACCTTCATTCCCAACACTGGGGAAGCAGAAGCAGGCCAGTTCTGTGAGTTCAATGCCAGCCTGGTCTACATAGTGAGTTCCAGGGTAGCTGGGGCTACAGGGAGACCCTGTCTCAAAAAGACCAAAAGAAAAAGAGCTGGGTGTGGTGGCACGTGCCTTTAATACTAGCACTCAGGGAGAGGCAAGAGAATCATGCCTCTGAGGCCAATCTGAGCTACACACAGAGTTCCAGGTCTTCTTGGCTTTCATAACAACCCATTTCAACAAAAACCAAAAAAGGAACTGGACAGGTAGCTCAGTTGGTAAAGTGCTTGCTTGCTTTGCAAGCATGAGGACCTGAGTTCAATCTCCAAAACATGTTAAAAGCCAGGTTTAGTGGCAAGCACTTACAATGCTAGTACTGGGGAGGTAGATCCAGGAGGAATCTTGGGATTTGCTGGCCCTCTCAAAGTAGAGGTTGCCCCTGAGGATGACACCTAAGATTGTTCAGTAGCATACACACAATACACACAAACACATGCGCAAATGAATTTTTTAAAAAATGGGAAAAGACTTCTCTTAAAACATAAGTTCACTCAGGAGCTGGAAATGTAGTTCTGTGTAAGAGTATTTACCCAGCATACATAAGGCCCCGAGTTTGATGCCCAGCATCACAAAAATAAAGAATTCAGATAGCAGTCCTATATCTTTAAAGACTCAACCAGATTGTCTTGGAACATGGTTTCACTCAGAAATTTCTTCCAGAGGGAGAAGGTTGTGAGCAATTCACAGCCAGGAACTGGGTATGTCAACAGGACTCACCTGAATGGGTTGGTTTTCATAAGCATGCTCCTGTCAGAGATTCCTTGGTTAGTATAAAATCAAGAATATCTTATAAATGAGTTTGTCTCTGAAAGTATAAGGTAAAAACTGAACTCTGGTTCATGCTTAAGTTTTGTTGGAGTCAAGCAGTTTGTTGTCAGTAGGGAAATGTGTTTTAAAATGAAGAAAATGTGTTCATAAATAAATGCAGGCTTGTTATATTCCCCCGCTTACAGGTTAAGTGACCCCTGTTCAAGCCGATGGGATGAAAGAAGCTTGTCCCAAAGATCCAGATCATGGTCCTATAATGGATATTATTCAGATTTTAGTACAGCAAGACACTCTGATGGTCACCACAAAAAACGCAGGAAGGAAAAAAGAGTTAAGCATAAAAAGAAAGCTAAAAAGCAGAAGCATTGTAGAAGACACAAACAGACTAAGAAGAGAAGAGTCATGCCACCTGACATGAAACCCTCAAAATCTCCCACTCAACGATTAAAGTCCTCTTGTGATAGAGAAAGGAGATCTCGATCCTCCTCCTCCTCCCCATTGTCTCCTCATTCATCAAAGAGGTACTGGTCTAAATCTGACAAAGATGACCAGAGCTCTTCAACACACTCCAGCAGAGACTCCTACAGATCTAAGTCCCACTCACGGTTGGATTCTAGACGAAGCTCAAGATCAAGGACTCTGTCAAAATCCTTGTCACATTCTCACAGTAGATCAAAGTCCAGATCTAGTTCCAAGTCAGGGCGCCAAAGAACAGCATCAAAGTCACCAAGAAATACTCATTTGAGTGAAAGTAAGGCAGTTAAGACAGAACCTTTAAGGTCAACAATACCACAAAATGGAAATGTAATAGTACAGCCAGTGGTGGCAGAAAATGTTCCTGTAATACCATTGAGTGACAGTCCACCCCCTTCAAGGTGGAAGCCTGGACAGAAGCCATGGAAGCCCTCTTATGAGCGAATTCAAGAGATGAAGGCTAAAACAACCCACTTACTGCCCATCCAAAGCACCTATAGTTTAGCAAATATTAAGGAGACTGGAAGCTCATCATCTTATCACAAAAGAGAAACAAATTCAGAAAGTGATCGAAGTGCTTATTCAAAATACAGTGACAGAAGTTCTGAAAGTTCTCGAAGATCGGGGAGCAAGTCTTCTAGGAGTGTATCTTACTCTAGATCATACACAAGATCAAGGTCACATACTCTGGCTAGTTCACATTCAAGGTCTAGGTCTCCATCGTCTAGGTCTCATTCACAAAATAAATATAGTGATCATTCCCAGCAAAGTAGATCATCTTCATACACTTCCGTTAGCAGTGATGGTAGGAGACGAGCCACGAGGAAATTTAGATCCAGTGGGAAAAAAAGTATCACTTCAAATAAAAGACACAGCAGCAGTCCTGAAAAGGCACTTCCAAGTAAATATATGAAATGTAGAGCAAAGTCTTTGTGTCACAGAAAGTATAGTGAAAATAGGTCATCTTTAGATGATTCTATGGACAGCGAACAGTCAAGTATTCAAGGTATGCACTCAGCCCCAGAGAAGGAGAAGCAGGGAAAAATGGAAGTAATTAGTGATAAACAGGAAAAGGGCAGAAATGAGGGGAAATCCAAGCCTGAATGGGAATGTGCTCATTCAGAAAAGAGAACTTTGAAAGACAATCTTTCTGATCACTCTAGAAATGGCAGTAAATCCAGAAGGAAGAATTGTGCTGGGAGTAAATGGGATTCTGAGTCAAATTCAGAAAGAGATGTAACTAAGAACAGTAAAAATGATTCCCGGCGGTCCTCTGATAAGGAAGAAGGTGAGGCCACTTCAGATTCCGAATCAGAGGTTAGTGAAAGTCATGTCAAAACCAAACCCCCAACAAAATCTTTAGCAAACAGTTCTCTGCCTGACAGTAATGGTGCTTGGAAATCCAGGAGACCACAATCTTCAGCCTCTGATTCAGAGGGCTCCTGGTCCAACTTAGGAAACAACAGAGCAGAGTCTCAAAAGCATAAACGAGGGTCAAAGGAAAGTCTTAAAAGAGAACAAACAAAAAAAGTGAAAGAGAAATTGAAAGCAAAAAAAGACAAAAAACACAAGGCTCCAAAGCGAAAACAGGCCTTTCACTGGCAGCCTCCACTAGAGTTTGGTGAAGAGGAAGAGGAAGAGATTAATGAAAAGCAAGTTACTCAGGAGTCAAAAGAGAAGAAACAAATATCTGGAAAGTGTGAAACTATAAAAGATAGTATTCTGAAAATAGAGAAATCCTGTGATGAGGGCAGCTTTTCAAATAAGCGTAATAAAGGGACTGTTTCAGAACATGATGGGCTTGCAGAGGATGATAGTAAGCCTGACACTTGTTCAGAACCTTTACAAGTTGAGGGGAATGCCACTAGCTCTCCTCCCAGCACCCAGCACATTGAAGAGACTATCCCAGCTGGAGTGGAGGATGTGCTTCAGACAGATGACAACATGGAGATTTGCACCCCTGATAGGAATTCCCCTTCAAAAGGAGAGGGGGCATCCCCTTTAGCAAATCGCAGGCCTGACAGTCCAGAGGTAAGCAGTGTTCCAAAACAGGATGAGCACATGGCAAACCCTGGAGTAGAAGGAACAAAGCAAGAAAGCAGTGTTTCTGAAAGTAAAATCCTGGGTGAAGCTGGGAAACAGGACTGCAGTTCTGCCAGATTGGCAAGTACTATAGAAATTGCTGGAAAGAAGAACGGGGCTGAGAAAGGTCAGATAAACCTCACAGATAATAAATGGAAGCCCCTGCAAGGTGTAGGGAACCTAGCAGTACCTACTACGACCATGTCCAGTACTCTTGAAGTGAAGGCATTGGCTACTGTGCCTGAAGTGAAGCCACAAGGCTTGAGAATAGAAATCAAAAGCAAAAATAAAGTTCGGCCAGGGTCTCTCTTTGATGAAGTAAGAAAGACAGCACGCCTAAACCGGAGGCCAAGGAATCAAGAGAGTTCCAGTGATGAGCAGACTCCTAGTCGGGATGGGGATAGCCAGTCCAGGAGTCCACACAGATCTCGAAGTAAATCTGAAACCAAGTCTCGACACAGAACAAGATCTGTCTCCTACAGTCACTCAAGAAGTCGTTCTAGAAGTTCCACATCATCTTATCGGTAAGCAACATTCCCTTTCTTCTAAGGAGAGTCTGCTACCATTTAGCTTGGAAGAGCACCAGGGTTAAGGGAGAAATCACTGTTTCCAGATATGTGAAAGGGAATAAGAAATGTTATCCTGTGTGACCAGAGCTACAGATTGAGGACATAGATAGGGAGTGGGCATTTCTGAAGAAGAAATTTGGGCTCAGTGTAAAAGAATGTCATTACTAGTAGTTTGCTCATCCAAATAGTGACAACTCTTCTGCATAAACTGCCGTGAGGGTGGGCCGTGAGTTCTCCAGCTTCTAAGGTGTGAAGTAGCTGGCTTTTTTTGTCTTTGAAAATAATCCTGGGCTAGAGAGATGGCTCAGGGGTTAAGAACACTGGCTGTTCTTGGGGAAGATGCGGGTTTGATTCCCAGCACCCACATGGCAGCTAAGAGCTGTCCATAACTCCAGTTTCAGGGGATCCTGCAGCCTCTTCTGTCCTCCTCGGACATTGCACACCATGGGTGCACTTACCTACATGCAAGTAATACGCATACACATTAAGTAAAAATAATAAAATTTAAAAAAAAAAATCCTTTGAGCAGAATCTGCAGGATTTAGGGATCGTTGGTCTAACTACCCTTTTACACATACGAACAATAACTCCAGAGGCAGAGTTGCTATCCTAGACACACATACATGTCAATCTTTGTGATCATGTTCAGATTTTCAAGCCCCACCTAGCGTTTGTCTTTGGGATAGACTGAAGAGTGCAGAGAATAAGATTGAAAGCCCCCCAAAAGGGTCATGGTGACACGAAGTCAGAAAGTAGTTAATTTCATGAGCATGTAAATACACCTGTTCAACCTTTTGTGAATTTTATTTGATTCTGTATGATTAAACCGTGGCTGTTTCTTGATTGTTTCATGTCCACTGTGCAGAGTTCACAAGAGATCTTGCCCCCAGTTTTGTTTTCCCTTTCCTACCTATAATTAATCCTAACACCGTGGTGAGTGCATACTACTGTACTTTTTACTCATTTTTATTGTAGATCAAGAAGCTACTCTAGAAGCCGGAGCAGAGGGTGGTACAGCAGAGGCCGAACCCGCAGCCGGAGCAGCTCTTACCGCAGTTACAAAAGCCACAGGTGAGCCTGTCTCACCCTGCTGCGTGGTGCCCAGTCACTTGCAGTGGTCCATTTTCTGGGCTATTCAAAGGTGCTGTTGAGATAATCCTGTCATTGTCAATACACTGACCTGTTTCTCATCCAGCTGTGGGGTTGTTGCTGGTAGTCTCCAGCTCAAGAGATCTGCCTGCCTCTGTCTCCTGAGTATTGGGATTAAAGGTGTGCGCCACCATGCCCGGCCAAATATATTTTTTAGTTTTTATTTTACTTCTTATGTGTATCAGCGTTTTGCTTGCGTGTATATAAGTGCACCTGTATCGTGCATTGCTCACAAAGACCAGAAGAGAGCTTTGGATCCCCTGGAGTTACAGATGGTTTTTTGCTGCCAGGTCCATGCCGGAAACAGAACCTGAATCCTCTGTAAGAGCAACAAGTGCTCCTAATCACTGAGCCATCTCTCCAGCCCCTCAAATACATCTTAACCAAAGTTTACAAAGTACGGTCACTTCTTGTCTTGGGTTAGGCATTGGAAACAGATATATACAGAGGAAACCAAGAGAAAGGAGTACATGCTGGAGGGAGGGGAGAAGAACAAGACTTGCCGGGGGACTGGAGAGATGACTCAGCAGTTAAGAGCACTGGCTTCTCTTATAGAGAATCTGGGTTCAGCACCCACATGACGGCTCACAACCATCCTTAACTCCAGTTTCAGGGGCTCTGATGCCCTCTTCCACCCTCCATGGGCATTGCGTGCATGTGGTATACTTGCATACTTCAAAGCAAAATGCTCATACACAAAAAATAAAACTTAAAATAGAAAATCCAGTGTACTTTCAGTGTGAAAACAAAAGACTTCACTATTTTCACTTTGGTGGGCAAATATATGTCTAGATTTTTAATGTAATATGTCTGTCCTAATGCATGAGGTGATGGTCCTTCCTTTCCTGTGATTCATCCTAGGACATCCAGCAGGAGCAGGTCCAGGAGCAGCTCGTATGACCCCCACAGTCGTTCCAGGTATAGGGAAGGTGGGGCAACCTCCAAAAAGTTGTGGGTGCTGGGGATTGAGCTCAAGGACTCAGGCATGATAAAGTAGGTATTCTGCCACTAAACTATACCCCAGCCTAAGTGTTGCATTTTTTTTTAAGCATTTAAATGCATATATTTGTCTTCTGAAATCACACCCTTTTTAAATGAGATCTTTCTAGCAATTTTTATCTGTTGGCCCATTGTGCTCCAGTGTTAAAAAAAATGACGATTAATGTCAAATTGTAATGGCAGGTGCTTATTGAATATAATTGCCTAGTAAGACCTAAATTCAAACTAGCTTGGTATTTTGTGATATTTTTCAATGTAGAAAAGAAATTAACACTTTTCTTTTTAACATTGTAAGTCCAATTGGGGACAATTGTGGAATGTTTGTGGAACTTAATTATGTAGCTGTCCTCACACTTTGATCGAGTGCCCATGTAAACTAGAACCCTCTCATACAGTCCTAAAGTGGAGTTTTTGAGAATTTGAATGGGAAAATTTAGTGTGTGTTGTTTGTTGCTGTTTAAGTAGGTCCTACACTTACGATAGCTACTACAGTAGAAGTCGCAGCCGGAGTCGCAGCCAGAGGAGTGACAGTTACCACCGAGGCAGAAGTTACAATAGGCGGTCCAGGTGGGTCCCTGCTTTAGAGCACAACAAGTGACTGACTTGGGGTGTGAAGTCTGGTGACAAATACTTCTCTTGTGTCTTCTTGACCCACAGGCAGCTACTAAACATGGCCTTGGTATTAAGAGTCACCTTGTAATATTTTTGGTTATTGTTTTATATTTCAGACTAAAATGGGTTTTGGGAAATACATAACATTGGCAGACATTTCTTTTGGCAGGAATAAGGGGAAAGCCATCCAAATCATGGCTTACTTCCTCACTTAAGTTAGACTGTATTGCTAGAATACCCAATTTGTCATTTTATTAAATGTCATAATCATTTGTTTCAGCAGCAGGGTAGAGGTTTTGGTCTTATCATTCATTTAGTAAGATAAATTTTTATGTATTGTAAATCATGTTTTGTAAAACATGTTTTGGCTGACTTCTGCATTGTCCCTTGCTGATGGCTGCTCTTCTCTCCACGTCTATTGCAACTGTAGTGATCCTTCTGCAGAGCAGTGTGATGTGGACACTCCCTTGAAACGGTGTTAGGGACACGTGACTGTCCTCACAGGTCCAGGGCGCCTTAACACTGCACATGAGGCCACTCTACTTGCCTGCTCCAGTTCTTTCTGCCCACCTTCCTCTAATGTTCTAGAACCTTTCCTTCTGCCTAGAAACAAATGTGTTATCTCTGTCATCTCTTTTGTGTCTTGAAGGAAACAATCAGTTCCCCCCATCCACCCACCCTGTAGATACCCACTCTTCACTGCAACCCTCTGTAAACCCCTCCCCCCCGTAAGTAATCTTGAAGCAAAGTTCTTCTTGATGAGCAGTTGCTCCCTTGGGGTTGGTTCTTAGTACTCCTGACTTAACTGCCATATCCAATATTCTGTGTTATCCTTGAGCCCTAGGAAAGTATACTTGGTCTGCTGTTTTGTGGTATTGAAGTTCCTACCATGACAGGTTGATAGTCTCAGAAAGTACTTCTAAACTAACTGAATGAAGATAATAACCAAGCCCATAGACTCAATATCCTAATAGTTTTGTTCACCTGCTTCCCCCACCCCTTAATGAAACCATGTACCTTTTCCCCCTTCCTTCTTCAAACAATCTAATCAAATACTGACATTCATTTTGGATATAATGGAAAAGTGGTTTGCTCATTTATATAAATAGATTTCAAGTAAATTTCCCGGGATTGTGAGGTTTCTTTACCTTAGCCTTGATATTGCTGCCATTTGTCATTTAGAGCACCCTTAAAAAGGGGGTCTATAGTGTTGTCAGGGTCAGAACCCAGAGTGAGTATTAAAAACTTGAATTTTTGCTCTGTTCTGTTATGCAGGAGTGGTAGATCTTACGGCTCTGACAGTGAAAGTGATGGAAGTTACTCTCATCATCGGAGCCCCAGTGAGAGCAGCCGATATAGTTGAAAACATCTCATATATGTAATATATACATATACAAATTGTATCTTAACTGTACATATCTGGTAACTTAAAGGCTTAAGAAACTTGATGACAGTTTGTTGTGTTTCAGTATTAGAGCTCAAATTCAAAGATACTTTTTACTTGTCACTTAGTTACATGTGTACAGAAGAATTTAAAATACAAATATGTCTGAGAAATATTTTTATTCTGCATTTTAAAGTAACCAGCTATGGAATTTTCATTTTCTTGAATCAAGAAGTGAAACTTAAGCCGGGTGTGGTGGTGCATGCCTTTAGTCCTAGCACTTGGGAGGCAGAAGCAGGTGAATCTCTGTGAGATAAAGGCCAGCCTGGTCCACATAGTGAGTTCCAGGCCAGCTGGGGTCACAGGGAGACCCTGTCTCAAAAAAAAAAAAAAAAAAAAAAAGAAACTTACGTAAGTATAATTTGGCAATATTATTTTAGATTTTTTTTTTTCTAGTTCATGGTCCTTAGAATATAGACTCCTTTTGCTCGTGTTCCAGATGTTAGCATCCATGCTGCCAAACAGAGCTGTGAAAAATGTTCCCATGCGGGTTACAGTCTTGTCCATGTGTACTGTCTAGTCAGGCCATCCAGGTCCATAGTGATGATGGCCAGGCATACAGGACAGTAGCTCTGGGGTTGCTAGTTCTGCCTGCCTTCCTGCCATCTTGGAACGCCAGGAAAGCATGTGGCTGTGATCGGTACTACTTCTACCTATGAACACCTGCAATGCAGGTCTTGCTCTGAGGGTTCTGTGCCCTTTCAGAGATGATAAGAAGCTCAGATGGTAAAAGATGCCACTATTCCAGGTCATGCCTTGGTGCTCGGTGCCTTTTGGTACCTCTTACGTGTTACTCCATATACTACACATCAGAATGTCAGAAGACAGAATTGGGATTATTTTTTATAATTTACTAACATCAGGAAAGATTCCTCTTGAGCTGTGTTCACTATTAAGTGTAGGAGCTTCTTCCAAACACAGATTTTATTGGAGGTCCCCTGGAGCAAGCAGGGTTGGCAGAAGTATATGGCCGTCCGGGTCAGGTTGCATAAGTGTGTTTCTGGAGGAGCAGATTGAAGAGTAGACTTCAAAAGCAACCCTACAGTCTTAAAAACAACTCTGCAGTCTTAGCTGCCACATCCTGAAGACGTTTGGCAAAGCTCTGCTCTCAGGGCTCTTAAGTGAGGGCTGTATTGTAACAGCAGTGGGACTGCTCCAACAGCATGTTTCCCTGAGCACACTTCCCCCCTTTCCCCCCAGCTGACTTCAGTGAAGCTCTGCTTGACCCTAGTAAACAAGAGATAGGACAAGGCAAGTACAGAGTACTGAATAGATTTCACAGTCTCATGGCTTTGGGTGCTTCCTCCAAAAATAATTAGACCTGTAAAAACTAGTGTGGGTTTTCTGGGGCTGGAGAGATGGCTCAGTGATTAAGAGCACTGGCTGTTCTTGCAAAAGACCTGGTTCGAATCCCAGCACCCACATGGCAGCTAACAACTGTCCATAACTCCAGTTCCAGGGGATCTGACAGCCTCTTCCGTCCTCAGAGGGCATTCATTGCACGACACGGGTGCACTTACCTACATGCAGGCAATACATGCATATACATAAGTAAAATATTTAAAAAAACAAAAATTAGTGTGGGTTTTCTGCTTTATCTTTAGTTTGCATTCTTTCCCCCAAGTGTACTTAAATCACCTTTGTGCCAATTTAATCCAGTTACAAATTCCTGTAGGGTATTTGGTGTATAGAAGTCTGCATCATCCTTTCCCATGCCTTGGTAGTATATTTGAGAAGGGGAAAAAGAGCCCTGAACTGGAGGATCTGACAGCTCGCTAGATGGAGGGGGGAGGTGTTGGATGTATGAAGTGGTCTTCCAGGGGCAGTGTTGTTCAGTGATACAGCATGTACTTAGGATACATGATGCCCTGGGTTTAGTGCCCATCACCCCAAAAGTTTGTTTTAGTCAGAAGATAGTTCATTAGAAAGCAGGACTACATCAGAAGTCAGTGTTTAATGGGTGAGTATACAACTTGTGATTTGCAGTGAGGATTTTTGAAAAGTTGCCTAAAAAGAAGAATGTTTTCATATACTAGTCAGTGGGAAAAAAGTGCATCCAGAGCCCAAACAGAAACTACCAAATCTAATTAGTTAAATAAAGATTACTCTTGGGCAATATATTAGTGTTTTGTTGCTGTGTAACAAATTATCCCAAATTTCTCAGCTTAAAACAATACCCATGTATTTACTAAGCGCTCTGTACCCATGGGCCAGTCATGGTTGGCTTCTCTGTTCAGGGTCTGGAGGCAATAACCAAGGACTGACGGCACATTCCTTTATGAAGGCGCAGGGGAAGAGTGGCCTTTCCTTGCAGGCTGTCAGTTGGGGGCCTCTCTGGGCTGCTTTGAGGCTGCCCACATTCCCCCTTATGTAGGCCTTGCCATCTTCCAACCAGCTTGTGACCCTTTGAGTCCTTGTCTTTCTCATACTTCAACTCTGCCTTCCTCCTGCTTTAAGGGTCCATGTGACTAGGTAAAGCCCCATAGATAAATCTCTATTTGAAGGCTGGTTATGCTGTGGGGCACTCGGAGTTACCAGGGATACAGTGCACTGGCAGGTTCCTCCAGCTGTGACTTTGGATGGGGCTTTCACTGGACAGGCAGACTCTCCTTCAGCAGTTGGGCTTGCTGTTTACTCACGTGAACAACAGAAATGGCTTTTCTTCTTAACCAGAATCGTTCTGTATTTTGAAGTTAATTTTTTAATGAAATTGAATTATGTTGTGTAATGTGGTTAATAGAAAATGAATTATTGGACAGTTTTGTAATGTCCTGTTTACTGCAAATGAAATAGTTGATATTGTTAAAAATGTAGAAAATACTTTTGTACATACTAGTGATGACTAATTTGTATATACTTCAATTAAATTTCCCTACAACTTGAAAAAGGATCTTGTAGAAATGAAAATACTTGCTTAGTTTGAGTCTGTGCGTGCTTGGTCTTTCTTCACTCGGACTCCATAGTCGTTTTCTGACTTGGTAGGGGGGCGGGGGGACACCAGCAACACGAGCCTCTTTGTGACCTGGTCAGCCAAGAGACTTTTCTACAGCAGGGTACAGTGGGATGCAGGAGTAGAGCCTGGGAGAGCATGACAGAAACAGTACCTTTGCAGATGGGCTGCAACCCCAAACCTCCTGCTGTCACCAGCTGAGGTGACCTGTGTAGGGATGTCTGCTGAGGAACGAGTGGGTTCCATGCCTGCATTGCTGTCCAAAAGAGTCTGCAGCTCCAGCCTCCACATTTCTCTGCCTAGGAGCAGATCGCCTGACAGTGTGGTACTCATCACTCACCTCCTGAGATAGGACCAGGGTGACATTTTGAATGTACAGGTGAAGATCTTCCAGGCAAGTACAACTAACTTTGTCTCCTTAGAGCTCAAAGGAGTATGTATTTTCTTAGTATACAACCTGACTTGTCATTTGCAGATTGAGTTTTCTAAACTGGATTACCAAATTTAAATTAGCTGGTTTTGGCCCCATATGTCTGTAAGCCCAGAACTTGGAAGGTGGAGGCAGGAGGATCCTGAGTTAAAGACCAGCTGTGGGGTTACATGACCCTGTCTTCACAGACCCACCCACTCACCCCCATAGAAAAGAAAAAGATTGTGGCATTTAAACAATCTTTATTCACATTCCAGGAGGAATAAGCCTGATGAGGTAGACAGTATTGGGGCACTGTCAGGGATTTGTGTCATGTTTTCTAAATCAGCCTGGCATTGATTGGTGGTAATATATTGAGGGTCTCTTGCTGGGAGGACATGTAGCAGGGGTTTGTAACAGAATTGGGTGGGATGTGCCAGAAGTACCTGGCTGAAACACTTGGTGCTGTGAAGACTAGCCTCAGGAGTCCTGAGGCATCCAGGGAAAGCTGGGTACCACTCACCCAGAACAGACTGGGGGCAGCCACCTGCCTTCTGCATGGGTCTGCCACAGGGTCACAGGTAGGACTCCCTCGCCAAGGCCTCCCTCTTCCTGGACACCCCCTGTGGGGCTGCACCAAGTTTGGGGCAAGGACAAGCACTGTTACACAACATTAAGCCCCCTCCTCCCCAGGAACTAAGTGCTAACTCTACAACCTGAGCTGAGTCCCTCAGCCCACAAAAGAACCTAGGCTAGCTGAGAACCATGAGGACAACAGGGCAAAGAAGAAAGTGGCTTCCAAAAGGGTCAGGATAGGCCTGACCCTGAACCTCTGCTACCCACAACAAAAGGTCCTGAGAACCACTGTCTCCCAGCTCATGAGCCCTGAGGAGGCATGCAACCAGGGTAAGCAGGTGTAGTTAATGGTGCTCTCCTTCACTGCAGCCTTGAGAAGAATCCCAGGGGGCCATATCCAGGGAGCACTTCACTAGGCCCTCCATGACCTAACAGTACCACCAGGCCAGACCCATAGGGAAGACCCAGGAAAACCCCAGCTGCCTTTACCACCTCCATTCTCACCTGATTTCATCTTAAAGAGGATCTCTGTTAGCAGTTCTAATACTGTACAGCCCTTGCTGGGTTCAGGCCCTGACACTTCCCTACTAGGTAATTTGCTATATGCCTCTGAAATTCAGTTTACCAGGAAAGGTGGTGAGGACCTCCTCCCACTTTGTCCTACAACTACACATGGATCAAAGAGGCTCAGGCTGGTGTATCCCTCCAGTGTTCTGGAGGGCCAAGGTCTCTGGAAGCATTCTAGACGCTACCAAAGAGGTTCATGTGCTGAGGCCCTGGATTTGGTGTGGGAGAAGGAACCTGCTGGTTTGGGTTAGGCCTCCACCCCTAGGCAGCTGTGGCTCATTAGTGCTGGTCTCAGCTGCCAGAACCCCACTTTGGCAGATCATGAGGCCCCACGTATGCTGGTGCTGCCACTCCTGTCCTCCCTCCCCTCCAGTCTCCCCACCACCACACACAAGCTAGCAGAGCTGGCTTTCCAACTTCCTTGGTGAGCCTAGTTTTCCCAACCAAGTTCAGGGACACCCTAAGCACTTTGGGGCTCCCACAAGAGAAACTTGGGTGTCACCCAACCTCACAAGTCTGAAACTGTTGGGCTCTGCGCTTGGCGAGTTCCCCTACTTTCCGCCAATGCAGCTTGTGGTTGTGGCCTAGGACCCTCCCACCATGCTCACCATGCCCCTCCAGGAGGCAAGGACCCATCCAGGCCTCCCTGCCAGCAGGACACACAACAGGAATTCTGACCATATTCCATCCTCTTGACTGCACCTCACCTCATCTTGTAGGTACTAAAATAATCTCCAGGCCTTTGCTGGTGTTGCTGTCCACCTGGTGCTCTTCCTGTACCCCAGTGCAAGCTTCAGCTGTAAGCAGCTCATTTGGCCCAGCACCCAAGCAGAGCAGCTGGGGCATTAGGGGGGAGGGAGGGGATAGTCCTCACCAGCCTGTAGCTCCTAAGCATCTTACCCAAAGGGCCATCCCTCCTGTGATTACACTAGCCACTCTGCCCAACTCTTTCCAGCCTCCAGGGTATTTTCACCCAGTCTTCTGGCACGGGGGTGCAAGATTTGTCTCCCTATGGGTCTTGCTGCCTTTGTGTGCCCAATGGGTATACGGTCCACACCTCCCAGGTCAATGCAACAATCCACGTTGAGTCAGATAAGCGGTGAGTGGTAGGAGGTGACAGGAGGCAGCCCAGGTTTCAGGTCCGAAGGTTTAGCCTTGGGGCCTCCGAGCTCAGTAAGATGACCTGCCTCCATGCAGGTTCCCAGGGCTGCCGGGGCTAGCTGCCTCAGCTCCCGGGCTTGTACTGTAGTAGTACGGGTCCCTCTGTTCCCACTTCACCAGCATCCTCCACCTGACTGCTTCCCCGGCTCTGTCAGCATTTAAGTCATCTCCAGGGGTAGCCAGCCCTGTGTCCTCGTGGGAAGCCTTTGCAGTCTTATGGTGCAGACTGTCAGCTGTTTGCTGTCACAGCCACTGCCCACTTTCGGGTCGGTGTGGGGAGGTCGGGTTGGAGCAGTGTGTGGAGGAGGACTGGGCTGAAAAGCGGTGGCTGGGTAGGGTTGGGGGAACGGGGCATCTGAAGGAAGGCGTGGGTCAAAGGAGAGGCCACGATCACGATCGTAGCCTGGCCGCCACCTGGATCCTGCAACCCGTGGTCCCGCCCTGCTGCCGCTCAGCCTGGCAGCTTTCCTTCGCAGCCTCCAGCCAGTACGACCAACCCCCTGCCCCCACGGTGGCGGTGCCAGAGCAGCATTCCGCAAGCCCGGCTGCATCTCCCCAACAGAGGCTGAACTGTGAGGCCACTACGCGGCGGTCAGGTCACACCGCTTGGGCGATCCCGTGGGGCCTGGACTTCTGGTCTCCACCTCGCTGTTCGGGCCAGTCACCCGAAATTTCGACTTCCATTAATGCCGCGGTGGCTCGGAGACCCTGTGCAGCCAGAAGCCACCAGGTAGGTCTTGGAAGCGCAGAGCAAAATGAGTGGGAGGCTGGAAAAGTTGGGGACCCCAGACTCACCCCCCCAGGTCAGAACATCCCAGGCCACAGGGTGGGGTGATGAACGCGGCTGGGGTGCGGGGCTTGGTTCCTTGGCGTCGCATCGCTAAAGGGAACAGGTGGGTCGGGGGCTCCGCGCGCCCAGCTTCGGGATTTCACCGCAGCCGCCTACCCTGGCCCCGCCTCCGTGGTGCAGCCGAAGGACACTGGGGTTAGACTCCCGGACGAACTTCCTAGGAGAAGGGATTCAGAGGGGGAGGGTGGGGTCGCGGTTCAACTGCTCCCGCCCGGGGACCCCCACGGCTGTGTGCCGAGTGGCCACACTTGGACCGCGCGGCACCGGCGTTCGCGCCCCCCGCCGGCACGCAGGGCGGCCTGGCCCTTTAAGCGTCCAGACGGCGGCCCCAGCTGACGCGCGGGCTCCAATCGGCGCCCCGCGCCCCCCGCCCGCC